GGGGGGTAGGGGGGTGGTGATTTCTCGCATTCCATCTCTCTGTCTGGGGAGCGCATGTGTCCTATAGCAAAAATCTCTCTCAAAAAAAAAAATCACCCATTTAGTGTTCAGTTCTGCAAGTTTCAACAAACATGTAGCTACTTAATCCCTACCACAATCAAGGTGCAAAGTAGTGTCATTATCCTAAAAAAATTTCTCCACGAGACCAGCAGTTAATGTAATGGCTATGTCGCTGGACTCCCACATAGTCGACCGTAGTTTGAGTCCCAGACCTGGTGGCTTAAACTCAAGCCAGGTGCGTGTGCATGTGTGCCCAAGATCCGGAGAGAATGGAGTTCAGAAGGGATTGCGCGTGGCCATTCCCCCTGGGGGGTGATTTCTCGCTTTCTGTCTCTCTGTCTCTGTCTTTCTGGCGAGCACACAAACCCTATAGCAAAAACCTCTCTAAAAAAAAAAAAAAATCTCCACAGCCCCTCGTAATTAACCCTTCCTCCTACCCCCACTTCCTGGCAGCAACTGATCTGTTTTCAGTTCCTATAGTTTTGGCTTTTCTAGAATGTTACATAAATGGAATAATGTATTATATACTCTTCCAGTCTTCTTTCACTTAACATATTTGAGATTCCTTCATGTTATTGAATGCATCAGTAAGGTTCCTCCCTCCTTTATTGCTGAATATTGACAGTATATCATGGATATGGATATACTACAGTTATTCATTTACCAGAAGGACATTTGGGTTCTTTCCAGTTTCTGATGATTATGAATAAAGCTGCTATGATCAACTGTACACAAGTTTTTATGTAAACATAGTTTTTTTCCCACTCTGAGAGTAAATATCTAATAGTAAGACTGTTCAGTGTATTTTTAACTTCATAAGCAACTGCCAAACTGTCTTTCAAAGTAGCTCTACCATGTTTCATTCTCACCAGGAAAAGCATGAGAGTTCTAGTTGTCACACACCTCGGCCAGCTCTTGGTATTTTCAGTTGTATTGATTTTGATGATTCTAATGACTACGCAGGGATATTTCATCGCTGTTTCTAACTTGCATTTCCCTAATTATTAATGATGTTGTTGAGCATATTTTTATGTGTTTATTTGCTATCTATGTACTTTCTTTAGTGAACTATTTTGCTTGTCCATTTTTTAAAATTAGGTTCCTTCTGTCCTTAATGTTGAGTTTCGAGAATTCTTTATATATTCTAGAGATAGTCTTCTAACAGACATGTGATCTACAAATATTTTCTCCTTGTCTGTACCTTCCCTTTCCTTCTTTGAACAGTATCTTTTTAAAAAAGTATTATTTATTTTATTTATTTACTATTATTATTATTTTACATGAGTTTTGCTAGAGAAAGAGAGAGAGGGACCAGCAGTTAGCGTAATGGCTATGTTGCTGGACTCCCACGTAGTCGACCGTGGTTCGCGTCCCGGACCTGGGGGCTTAAAACTCACGCCAGGCGCGTGTGCGTGCGTGCCCAAGATCCCGAGAGGAGAATGGAGGAGAAGGGATTGCGGCGTGACCATCCCCCCTGGGGGGTGATTTCTCGCTTTCTGTCTCTCTGTCTCTCTCTGTCTGTCTGGCGAGCACACACGCCCTATAGCGAAAACCTCCCCCCCCAAAAAAAAAGACAGAGAGAGAGAGAGAGAGAGAGAGAGAGCTGCCAGGTCGAGGACTCAAACTGTGGTCAGCCATGTGGGAATTTCAACACTTTAACCATGACACCACCTGCTGGCCCCTAAAGTATCTTTAAAAGCACAGAAATTCCTAATTTTGACAAAGTCAGATTTCTCATTTTTTTCTTTTATGGGTTTGTTTTTGGTGTCATATCTAAGAAATATTAGTGTAGCACAAGTATGTAGACAGTTTTCTCCTAAAAATTTCAGTTTTAAGTCTTTCTAAAGAACCTATGATCCATTTTGAATTAATGTTTACATAGTATATCAATAGATTGAGGTTTATGTTTCTTTTGCTTGTAGCTATTCAATTGTTGCATATAGGTAGCTAACAAATGGCTTTCCTGTTGGAGACGCTATCCTTTATCAAATTATATTTGCACATTTATCAGAAAATCAACTGACAATATGTGTATGAGTCTATTTCTGGACTCCTTCTTCTGTTCTGTTAATCTATAAGTCTATCTTTTTTTTTTTTTTTGAGAGGTTTTCACTATAGGGCGCGTGCGCTCGCCAGACAGACAGAGAGAGACATAGAGACAGAAAGCGAGAAATCACCCCCCAGGGGGGATGGTCATGCCGCAATCCCTTCTCCTCCATTCTCCTCTCGGGATCTTGGGCACACACGCACACGCGCCCGGCGTGAGTTCTAAGCCACCGGGTCCGGGACACGAACCGCCGTTGACTACGTGGGAATCCAGCAACATAGCCATTACGCTAACTGCTGGTTCCCAGTCTATCATTTCTTCAATGCCACACTATCATCTTGACTGTTTCAGTTTTAAAATGATTCTAAAAATCAGGTAGTGTGACTCATCCAAAGTTGTTCTTTATCAAAATTGTTTTGCTTATTCTAGGTTTTTTTTGTGTGTGTTTTTCCCTAGAAACATAGGGTCTGCCTATCCATTTCTACAAAAGATCCCACTAGGACTTAGAGCAAAATTGCATTGAATCTACAATTAGTTTGAGGAACAGACATCTTAATATTGAGTCATAGTGAGTCTTCTGATCCATTAACATGGTAGACCTCTCACTATATTTAGGTCTTCTTTGGTTTATTTCTTTCATTAGTGTTTTGCAGTTTCCAGCATACAGATCTTGTACATATTTTGTAAGATTTATACACAAGTATTTAAAGGTTTTAGTGCTTTTTTAAATGTTTTTTTATTTTGATAAGTTCTATAACTATTTTTTTAATCTGTTTTACCAATTGATGGTAGTTTTCAACTGCCCTAAATCTGAAAATTAATCTTCAAGCAAAGTTTCACTGAAACACTTGTATCAGCTTTCTGTTGCTGCTGTAGCAAATGATCATAAGTTAGTGGCTTAAAGTGACACAACTTCATTCTCTTACTTTTCCAGAGATCAGAAGTTTAAAAGCAAGGTGTTAGCAGTACTGTGCTCCTTGCAGAAGATTCAGGGGACAATCCTCTCCTTATTAGCTTCTAGAGGCTGTATGCATTCCTTGGTTCATGGCCTCTTCTTCACACCACTCCAACCTCTTGCTTACGTTGTCACACCTCCTACTGTACTGTAGTCATCTCCCTCCTCCCCCTTCTTAATAAGGACACTGTGATTATATTTAGGGCTCATTCAGGTAATTCAGGATAATCTCCCATCTCAAGATCTATAACTTAATCATGTATACAAAGTCCCTTCTGATATATAAGATACCATTTACAGGTCCCAGAGGTTAGGACCTAGATATTTTGGGGAGCCATTAATCACCCTACTTTCAATATCAAATAGATTTTTTAAAGCAGTCAATAATGTTTATACATAATAATGAAAAGCATTCTTTGGAAGAACATTTAGCTTGAACAATGGCTCCCTACCATTGCTTTAAAACAAATTAGCTTGAACAATGGCTCCATAGCATTTCTTTAAAACAATTAGCATTTAAAAGTCATAAATGCACCTTGTCTCCTTGTTTCAGTGTGCGCAGCTGAAGTCTTCCGATAGCTTTTTTAGCATCTGCCTTTAATTGTCTCTGTAATAAAAAATAGCAGATATTAGAAAAACTGTTTTTAAAAGAACTACTTTGAGAAAGGTAGAGGATTAATAAATATCATGTAAAAGTCAATACATAAATGAATTAAAAAAAATAAACTATAATTAACCATAATAAATGTGCCAGTTGGGGCCAGTAGATGGCATGGAGGTTAAGGCAGTTGGATCTCACATGGCTGACTGTGCTCTTCAAGTCTCAGACCCAGAGACTTGAAAAACACATCAGGCACGTGTGAGTGTATGCCCAAAATCCCGGGAGGAAAATTGAGAAGGGATTGTGGCATGACCATCCTCCCTGGGGGTGATTTCTCACTTTCTCTCTCTCTCTCTCCTCTCTCTTTGTCACTCTCTGTCTCTTTTGAGCGCACACACTCTATGGCAAAACACACACACACACACACACACACACACACACATACACTCACTCTCATGTATATATTTATATCTGTCCCAATTATCTGATATCAGTCAGGATTATGCATATTCCTAAAATGTTCACTTATTAGGATTCCTTACTTTCTTAGACAGTACTTTTGTGACCATAGTGGTAAAACTACGCCCTATCTCAAATAGATTCATGTGCTATGAATTTTCAAAGCAATAATTCTATTTTCAAGGTCAGAGACCTTTAAAGAGTTTATTTTCCGATGTAGTTTCAAAGATTTTTTCTTTAGAATTGTCACTGGGTGCATACATTCCAAAGGAAGAAAGAGAACACAACTCTCAATGGGCCATGGTCACTTCACAATCCTTTTCCCCCCATTTTTCCATTCTGTCATGATTTGGAGCATGTATACCACATATGTCTAGTGTGGTTTTCAAGTCACAGGGGCCAGGATTTGAACTGCAGTCAGCCATGTGGGATCTGGCTTTCTATGTGGAGTACTTAACCACTTTATAATGTGGCCAGTCCTTCAATGTATTTTTTTAAATAAAGTTTCTGGCAGTTTGTTGTAAGTTTCTTTTATTTTAAAATAATTATTTTATTTAACTTTATTATTATTATTATTATTTTCAAGTTTGATCCGAGACAGACAGAGAAAGAAGGAGAGGGAAAGTGAGAAAGCAAGCCACCAGGTCTGGAACTCAAACTGCAGTCGGCCATGTGGGAGTCTAATGCCCTTAACCACCACTCCACCTGCTGGTCCCTCAATGTATTTTTTAAATAAGTTAATTCTTATTGGGAACCAGCAGTTACCGTAATGGCTATGTCGCTGGACTTCGACATAGTCAACCACGGTTTGTGTCCTGGACCCGGTGGCTTAAACTCACACCGGGCACGTATGCGTGCATGCCCAAGATCCCGAGAGGAGAATGGAGGAGAAGGGATTGCGGAGTGACCATCCCCCCTGGGGGGTGATTTCTCGCTTTCTGTCTCTCTCTCTCTGTCTGTCTGGCGAACGCATGCGCCCTATAGTGAAAACCTCTCAAAAAAAAAATTAGTTAATTCTTATTTATTTTTAAAAGTTTGCTATAGAACACATGCACTCACCTGAGAGAGAAAGAGAGAGAGAGAGAGAGAGAGAGAGAGAGAGAGAGAGAGAGAGAGAGAAGGAAAGTGAGGAAGCAACCCTCAGGGGGTATGGCCATGCCACAGTCCCTTCTCTTCCATTGTCCTCTTAGGATTTGAGGCATGCACGCACACATGCCCTGCATGTTTTTCAAACCACTGGGTTCGGAACTTTACCTGTGCATTCAGCCTTGTGGGATCCAGCTGCCTTAATCTTTAAACCACCAATGTATTTTTTGAATTGTTTCTTGTTTGGTGGAAAGTACACAGAATTTGGAATCAAATGGATATAGATTCAAAATCTGATTTTGTCACTACATGAATAACCCTGAATGAGTTATTTAATTCTTTGAGTTTGTTTACTTATCTATAAAATAAAGATAATACCAACCTTTGCAGTGTTTGGTATTAGTAGAAAAATGCTGTTTATGCCCACAATCACCTTATAAGGAAGTTGGATTTTGCCTTTTGTTTGTTTCACTGAGCATGTTTCTAGAGGACTATGGATTTGCAAAGGCAACCCCAATGCTCACATAGGAATAAGAAATAAACACGCATAATTGAGTCAGAAATGAAGTTGGGATGTAAGAGGACTCTAAGAGGTGAGAGAAAGATCACAAAGAGAGAAATCAATGATAGACTGTCCTTCTATATGGGGTGAACTGGCCCAAGGGAAAAATATTCCAGGTGATATAAGATACATGGTGTGAATTTTTTAAAAGTTATTTGTGGTGCTACAAATAGATCTTTCTTTCCCTTTCATTAACATCTACCACATATGCCAATGCCTCAAGTAAATATGTATGTAAATTGAAGTAGAAGCTAGATCTCACACCTTGATGGATGCTGTTGGGATATAAAGACAGCATGTGCAGCATGGCAATATTTGTTTTGGCAGAATTCAGCAAAATGTAGGCACCTGGAACCGCAGGTCATTGTGAGAGCATAAACAGCTTCCTCATCCCCTGATATATACTCCCATCCCCAGCTGACATCGAGGTTACATGAAACTTAGAGATAATACAAGTAAAGCATCTATTGAAAGTAGAGTGTGTAACGTATAGCAGATAATCAATAAGATGCTTATTAAATGAAAACATAAGCAATCATTCATCAATAAGCATAAAGAGTGATTTTAATGTCTCTATATATTTGTAGCAAATATATTTTAGAAGAGAATAAGCTGTAAGTATAGCATACGATGAACTCCTTAATGCCCAAACTTGTCTCCTATATAAGATAACATTTTGTGAAAAGTATTTGGTTTAATGCCAAAGTGATTACTAGTCAAACTACTTCTTTGCTATGACAGAATCAACAGAAACTTCAGCATAACAGAAACAGTTAATAGGAAGATTTACACCATTTTTTTTTAAGGTATTTGTCACAGGGTGTGTGTGCTTGCTGGAGAGACAGTGAGAGGGAAAGTGAGAAACCACCCCCTTGGGGAATGGCCACACCGTAATTCTTTTTCCTCTACTCTCTCCTGGAATTTGGGGCATATGCACACAGGTGCCTGGTATGATTTTCAAGCTGCCAGGTCTGGGAATTGAACCACGGTCAGTCATGATGGAGTCCAGCATCTTAACCACCACCCCACCTGCTGGCCTGGAAGACTTAAATCTTAAGGAAAGAGGCACTAATCAAGGCCCTTTCACTCCTATTTTGGGACTTAATTGTGCCTTAAAAGGGTAATTCCATGATGTGACTTTATTTATTTATTTATTTATTTTTGAGAGGTTTTCACTATAGGGCACGTGCGCTCGCCAAAAAGACAGAGACAGACAGACGGACAGACAGAAAGCGAGAAATCACTCTCCAGGGGGGATGACCATGCTGCAATCCCTTCTCCTTCATTCTTCTCTCTGGATCTTGGGCACGCACGCACACGCACCCAGCATGAGTTTAAGCCACCAGGTTCAAATGGGCCTCAAACCACGGTCAACTACATGGCAATCCAGCAACATAGCCATTACACTAACTGCTGCTCCCCATGATGTGACTTTGTTTTGAGCACAAATATCATTCCCTTCTATTTTGTTACTTTTGCTGTAAGTAAATAATAGAGTGATAGTGAACAGAGGTCCATTTAAGATCTTTAAATCACCTAGGCTGACCCCTTATCTGACAAATAGGAAAACTGGTGCCTAAAGAAAAAGAATATCTTGCTTAAAATGTTACAGTTACCCAGTGTTGGCCCCACTGAAGCCCAGAGTTACATCAAGGTAGCCATTTATGTTGACTGTGCTTAGAGCACTATTTCCTTATATTTAGACAGTTGTTATATAGTCCAAAAATAATTTTTTTGGAGAGGTTTTTGCTATAGGGCGCGTGTGCTCGCCAGCCAGACAGAGAGAGACAGAGAGACAGAAAGCAAGAAATCACCCCCCAGGGGGGATGGCCACGACACAATCCCTTCTCCTCCATTATCCTCTCGGGATCTTGGGCATGCACGCACACATGCCCAACGTGTGTTTTAAGCGACTGGGTCCGGGATGTGAACCACGGTCGACTACATGGGAGTCCAGCGACATAGCCATTACGTTAACTGCTGGTCCCCCGAAAATAATTTTTAATATTTTTTTTTCCAGAGAGAGGGACAGTGAGAGGGAAAGTGAGAAATCAACCCCTCCCCAGGGAGAATGGCCATGCCACAATCCCTTCTCCTCCATTCTCCTCTTGGGATTTTGGGCACACACGCATATGTGCCAGGCATGATTTTCAAGCTGTAGGTCTGGGATTCAAACCGCAGTTGGGCATGTGGGAGTCCAGCACCTTAATCACCACACCACGTCTGACCCCATAATCCTTTTTTATATTCATTAACTCAATCTTCAAAACAACCCCCTAAAGGAGGTAATTTATTCATTTTAAAGATGAGCAAATGGAGGCTTGAAAAAGTGAAATAATGTGTCAAAAAGGGTATGCAGGACTTCAAATGCTAGATACTATCAATAGAACTCTTCTCTTCAGATTCTGAGTCCATATAACTGTCTTTGGCTTTTGACATTTTTCCAGCTCCTGAATTCTATGGCCTGTCAAATGGTGGCAAGTCTTTCAGCAAATAACCAGTATGCTCACAGTGTCCTGACCTGACCTGCCCTAGACTTCCATACTTTGCTACTTTCTTTTTAGAGAATTATTTATTTAATTTATTTTTATTATTATTATTATTATTATTTTAAAATTTCCTATAGGGCACATGTATGTGGGGGCGGGGGAGAGACACAGAGAGAGAGAAAGCCACCAGGTCTGAGACTTGAACCAGTCAACCATGTGGAAGTCCAGGACCTTAATCACTATACCATCTGCTGGCCCTAGCTATTATTCTTTTTATATAGGTCATGGGCTACTTAATTTGGAGACAAAAAATGCAAATGAGAGATGAAGTCAATAAGATAAAATGGGGGAGTGTAGTATTGTAGTTAATGATAAGTATTTGACAATCATTTTGTTCTTTGTCTTTAAAG